ATGTTGAGTGGGTCACTGTTTTTATTTGGTTTCTTGTTTTCTTAACTCTTTTTATCTGTCAATCCTATTTACTTCCTGCTAATGTTCCTTCTCTTCACATCATCTGCAGATAAGAAGGATGGTAATCCTATTCAATCAATTTTCATGATTGATAAGGGAAAAACAACAAACTGAGCACGTAAACTAACAAGCAATACAGGTTATTTTCATGATTGTTCATCAGGTTTTTCAACGCCTTGCATAGCTAATACGTATTAGAAAACAAGCCCAACACCAGAAACCAATGGTAAAATTTGAGTTTCAGCAGAAAACATGCTTCCTGAATCATTCATTTTGATTTTCATAAGAGTCCCTCAAAAGAATTTCCGGCAGTAGAAGGAGAAAATATAGGATACGCATCGAGACTGGAGGAGGTAAGGAGCACCCCTCATTCACCCCACAACATAAGCAAACCATCCACCGACAACCACAGCTTCATCACTCTATAGTGTGGCTTAGGAGAAAGTGTCTTGTGGAGGAATTACATAGGTGATGTGAATATTACTTTAAATATCTAATGCTGATTGACTTTCTATACTCAAGTTAATGATTTGTGGTGCTTCCAATGCAGAAAAAGCTTTCTCATAGCTTTGGGGCTTAAAAGTTTAGATATAATTTCTTCAATCCGATGACAATTGACATGCATGGGGTCAGAAGATTCTAATCCCTCTTTTCTGTTACTTAAAAGCAGTAAATACACAGGACTGACGTCTGATCAAGAACTACACACGTGAGTATAAACACCAGAATTTTAATTCTTTGCATGAAATTGTTCCTGTTAAATAACCTTCGCAGGAGGAAAAAAATATTTTGATGATCTTTATTGAACTTTTAAAGGGTAACCCAGGAACAAAGGGCAATGGAAAGACCCAGTTAAGCAATCACTCTTATGCTCACTTAATTAGTAAAGCTCCAATCCTGATGAGTGAAGCTCCACTAACAATTTCCATCTTAATATTACAAGATGACATGCACAGCAAAAATTGTTCCTCAATTTCAAAGATGCAAGAAACAATGATGTTCAAATATTATCATTAAGTGACCAATCCACCAGTAACAAAACGAGATACCACATAACACAGATATGCTCATGAACCAAGAACTACCTCCTTCGAGACACTTCTTCTTCACCCGCTTCACGTGATGGAGGTCCTCCAATGGTGCAATTTGACTCAAACGCCTAACCAATAACCAAACAATCGACTCCCAAATTTGAGCGAAAAATCAAACCATATATGAAACAGGAAGGTCTGAGAAGCGCAGAACAAGCTTAATACATAGAGTCTAACGCAAAACAGTAAGACTGACCTTATTATTGTGTTCGTGAGCTTTGGCTGCTCAATCTGAGCAGCGACCATGTTCACTGCTTGCAAAAGAAAAACACAACAAAATGCCAATTCCGTAGCGCAAAATACATCAGCAAAAGTGAATTTCAGATATTTCACTTAGGATTCGTCAGTCATCTGTTAAGAACAAACCTGTGAGTTGCTGATCAGGAGGAAATGGTGGCCTGGCAGGAACGTGGATGATTCGCCACGCATTGTTCTCACTGCTCATTACTCTTCACAGCTAGCTTTCGTCACTGGCCCAACAGGAGGTGATCGAGGACGAAAGCAGAGAGAAGTCATAACGTCGTGTTGTAAGCTCTTATGATCTGTATTGAAACAGAGGACATGACCCGAAATCACAAGCATTTGGCAAGAAATCAACTCAGGATTGATGCAATATCTTCTCACATGTGTATGTAAGCTCTTATTATCAGTACAGTCTCAAATTAGGATCAAATTGAGGTTAAATTTGAGGCTCTAAAGTCACGGCCAGCAAATTCCAATGCTAATCCAGCCAATTCCAGTCAAGGATAACGTTTACAATCAGGTATCCAACAAATCTTGATCATGTATGGCACTTTTAACTATGAAACAAGCATATGCAGCTGTGACAGCCATGATGCCAACAAATTCGTAACAAGTACAGCATTATTAACATGAATTTCCACTTTCGACTCAGCATACAAAAGTATATGCTAATGTGATCAAAGTGGCATCAAATTTGATTGAAATTTATGACACATAGAGACCCCCAAATCATGACCAGAAAAGTCAGGCTTATTTTCAGTAACTTTTGGGCGCATCAATTTGGAGCATTAAGTCCAAATTTAACATGAATTGACCATAGCACGTTCCTATGTCACCGGATAACCCCAGTGAACTATGATCTTCGGCCACTGCCGTTAACCCTCACGTCCACCAAAATTAACCACCAAACGTTTAACAAATACGAACCAAGCAGTACCAATATGCACAGGAAGAGAATGTAAAAACAGAAATTCGGCTAATGAAATTTACCAAAAAATCGTCGTGCGTATCAGTGATTTGAAACCATTGAGTCACATAGAATGCATACAATAGCAGAAAGGGGTGCTCCGTAAAGTACTCGAAAACAATAAAGATCAGATCATCAAAAAGTAAAGGAAAATCTCGGTTGACAGGAAATGGACTAGCAAACACCCCAAGTTACTAGTTTTTTTGAAAAAATCATCTCAGACATGACGGATTGCTTTCTAAACGATCAATAACACGAGCTAACAATCACAAATCTGATTCACGCATTTCGTCGAACAAATGGTGAGCATCTCGGAAAATGATTCTGTATGTGATATCAATGCGACATTTCAATCCAGATGCTCCTAGAAAAGGTTTAATTCATATCAGTGAAGAATAGGTTCAATCCCGATCACTTTTCAAACAAATATTGACATCGACTTCAAACTCAACTTACACATGCGAAATAAGCTATGCAGAGAGAGTGTTTCGAACCTTACGCTCATACATCTTACTACAACAATCGACATACAAATATTTTACAGGTAAATTCACTCAAGACCTTTCTCGACTTCTTCCACGACTGGCAAACACAAACTTCAATCCCGCGAACGTGCTTCAACGACTTACTCGATCACACAAACATTACGCATGACGGGAATTTTAAACGTCTGTACCGAACAACTACCAATCCAGATGCTAAGCATGATAACACTCCTCAGATTTGCACACGGGTTTCACTCAGGCATTTCAACGAACATATGGAAGGCATCTCGGTTTAGTGATCGAGATGACAGAGCGAAGCAGCGATTTCAAACCATACGACCACAATATCATCAAATGAGGCTCAAATCAATAAATGGATCGTCAATTGGAGACTATTTTCACATGGAACACACAACTAGAGTTCTCGGCCTCTGTCTCTCGCGTACAGAGCAACGGAAACAGAGCATGACCAATACCTCGAAAGAAAAGCAACAACAGAACAGACCTTGAACTGAACGACGATCAAATCGGATAATATTGTCTCGATGGATTTTTCAATATGATTATCGACGTCAATGAATATTGACGGCCCCCTCTCTCTCTCTCTGAAGAGTCGATCAAGAAACAAGATTCAAATACAGGGGAATCCACCCCCAAGATACCCAAAAAAGAAAAGAAAAAACGAAGAAGGAATCAATCTCCAAGAAAGCTGCGCTCCCCGCCTATTAAATGGGTTCCTCCTCCATGCGCAGGTAGAGTCAAATGGGTAAGACTTGTTCGGACCGATTTCCGAGTTGAATGGGTTCGGTTGCTCACCTCTAAATTTGATTGGATAAATTGAAAATGAGAGTCCTAACTAGATAAGCGATGAAAGTAAAGGGATGGAAAGTGGAACTTATGGAGGAGATAATATTAGAGCTTTTATTTTCCTTTTGATTAGCGAGTTTAACATTTGCACTGCTTATTAAGAATCAGACTCCAAATAAAGAACCTTAGTTCTAGCTTATTGAGATGCGAGATCAGTCGTATATAAACTCATTGAGAACAAGATTCTAAAAGAAAATCACGAGGGGTGTAAAACTTGTCAGTCCGAAGATATGTGGACCGACCATTACCATTTTGATACTTAATAAGATGCTTGGGGAAAGAACTAGCCTTCAAGATCTTCCTCCATGCGCAGGTGGAGTTACCGGTGGATGTTGCGAACCATGACGATTTGATTTGCTCGATTTTAAGATGATGTTATTCTTGTCATCTAATTGGGCCTCCAGTCCATTTGATTTATTCGGGGGCCAATCAATCTGGACTCAATTGAGACAGATTTCTCAAAAACATTATGGCTATGGAGAAAATAAAAAGAAGAAATGCTCGATTGAGAACAAATTTCTAAGAGATAATGACACAAATAATCCCTAAACTTTGGCCTAATGTGTAATTTCTTCCTTTAACTTTTAATTTGTTCGATGTAATCCCTAAATTTAAGGCTAATGTTCAATGTGGTTCTTGAACTTTTATTTTATTCAATGTCATCCCTTAACTTTTGGTACATGTTCAATTCAGTCCCTAAATTATATAAAAATGTTTAATGTAGTCCTTGAATTTGAATTAATGGAAAGGATTACATTGATTATTTTCATATAGTTCAGGGACTGAATTGAACATGTAACAAAAGTTCAGAGTTGATATTGAACAAAATAAAAGTTCAAGAACCTTATTTAACATTAGGTTAAAGTTCAGGAACTATATTAAATAAATTAAAAGTTCAAAGACTAAATTGCATATTGAATCGAAATTCAGAGATTATTTGTGTTATTTTCCCAATTCCTGAAGCACATTACATCTACTCAAAAAATCAAAAGTATCAGGGCTTGGCTAACACATATCAAAAGTTTGGGCCTATATGGAAAAGATTCCCCATAATACCCAACTTTATCCACAAGCTTATTGTTCCAATTTAGACCGTGGTTATCTCTCCCACCTTCGTCTAAAAAACTTCCAGACGACCGACCATTGTCTTTCATTCCATCGTCATTGTCTCTGACTCTGACGACTTCTCCCTCCGATTTGATCGTCGTTCGATTCAAGGCCTGTTGTTGCTTTTCTTTCAAGGTATTGGTTATGCTCTGTTTCCGCTGCTCTGTACGCGAGAGACAGAGCCCGAGAACTCTAGTTGTGTTTAAAATTGCTGCTTCGCTCTTGCGTCTCCATCGCTAAACTGAGATGCCTGCCATGTGTTCGTTGAAATGCCCGAGCGAAACTCGTGTGGCAAATCTGAAGGAGTGTTATCATGCTTAGCATCTGGAGTGGGTTGTTGTTCGGTACAGACGTTTAAAATTCCGGTCATGCGTAATGTTTGTGTGCATGAGTAAGTCGTTGAAGCACGTTCGCGGGATTGAAGTTTGTGTTTGCCGGTCGTGGAAGAAGTCGAGAAAGGTCTTGAGTGAATTTTACCTGTAAAATGTTTGTGTGTTGATTTTTGTAGTAAGATGTATGAGCGTGAGGTTCGAAACACTCTCTCTGCATTGCTTATTTCGCAAGTGAAAGTTGAGTTTGAAGTCGATGTCAATATTTGCTTGAAAAGTGATCGGGATTGAAACTATTCTTCACTGATATGAATTAAACCTTTTCTAGAAGCATCTGGATTGAAATGTTGCATTAGTATCGCATAGAGAATAATTTTCCGAGATGCTCACCATTTGTTGGACGAAATGCATAAGTCAGATTTGTGATTGTTAGCTTGTGTTATTGATCATATGGAAAGCAATCCGTCATGTCTCGGATGATTTTTTTTTTTTTAAAAAACTAACTACTTGTGGTGTTTGCTAGTCCATTTCCTGTCAAGCTAGATTTATCTTCACTTATTGATGATCTGATTTTATCTTCTTCGAGTACTTTACTGACCACCCTTTCCGCTATTGTATGCATTCTATGTGACTCAATGGTGATTAGCGGTGGTTTCCGGCGAGAAATATGGTTTCAAATCACTGATACGCATGACGATTTTCTGCTAAATTTCATTAGCCGCATTCCAGTTTTTACGTTCTCCTTAGGTGCATATTGGTACTGCTTGGTTTGTATTTGTTAAACTTTTAGTGATTAATGGCGGTGGAAGTGAGGGTTAATGGCGGTGGCCAAAGATGATAGTTCATTGGGGTTCTTCCCATTCAGTTTTCATTCTGCAGCCCAGTGGAGCCGAAACTGCACAGCTTCCATGTCTGCAACAGCGCCAAGTTCTTCATTCAATCTGGTGTCAAACCTTGACCTGCAAAGATGGCGACTCACAAGCATCGGGCCACAACATTCTCCATCTTCAATTCACTTTCTTGTTCAACCTCATTGTAGCAAGGGCGCTCCTTGTCTTGCTTCACCTCTGTTTTCTTCCCCAGCTGGTGGTGAAAATGTTGCAAAAACTGAGAACCTTGAAGAGGGTAGGCCGAGTTTCAAGTGGGTCGAGGTGGGACCTCATGCTACTGAGGAGCAAAGGATTGCCATATCTAATCTTCCTTTTAAGATGACAAAAAGGTGCAAGGCGTTGATGAGGCAAATCATATGTTTTGATCCTCAAAGGGCGAGCTTGTCAGATGTTTTGGCTGCTTGGGTGAGGATTATGAAGCCCAGTAGAGCCGATTGGCTCGCAGTTCTGAAAGAATTGAAGAAGCTGAATCATCATGCTCATCTTGAGGTACCTGCCCTCGTTTGATTTCATTGGTTGTTTGTTAGCTGTTTAAGCTGTGATGCAGCATCTCTGTCTGTTGGAAGAGCATGAGTTGAAAGATTTTCATGCTATGTTAATGAATTTGATTTTTCGTGTTGACATTTAGCTTTTGCTGTTGGAAAGAGCTGTAATTTGTCATCTTGCAAACTCAAGTTTCTGCAATTAGATCAGAATTTTGTGGATGGTGGCCTGGAAAAAGAGCCGTCGAAATCTAGTGAACTAGTGATTGTTAGCTTGTGCGAGGAGTGAGAGTTTCTTCTTGACAGTATAGTACTGGATGGTTGTCAAGGTGCTCCCATTTGTGGATGTGTTCGAAATTGTTTGCATGACAATTGTTGAATCGTGAGGATCCTCATGCTTTGTTAATCTGATTTACACAATTTACAAAGAAATTCTTAAATTCAACTCATGATTCCTCAGACTGTTTCTAGGTGGCAGAACTTGCTATGTTAGAAGAATCTTTCGAAGCTAATGTTCGTGACTATACAAAACTAATCCATTGGTATGGAAAGCAAAACCAACTTCAAGATGCAGAAGAAGCTCTTCTAGGCATGAAGCAAAGAGGCTTTATCTGTGATCAGGTTACCTTGACTGCTATGGTTGATATGTACAGCAAGGCTGGGCATTTTGAGCTGGCGAATAAAACATTTGAAGAAATCAAGCTGCTTGGATTGCCATTGGATAAAAGGTCATTTGGCTCAATGGTCATGGCCTACATTAGAGCTGGAATGCCTGAACAAGGAGAGATTTTACTGAGAGAAATGGATGAACTAGAGATCTTTGCTGGAAGTGAAGTTTACAAGGCACTATTGAGAGCGTATTCCATGATTGGCAACACTGATGGAGCTCAGAGGGTTTTTGATGCTATTCAGTTTGCAGGGATTATTCCAGATGCTAGGCTATGCGGGCTACTTATAAATGCCTATGCAACTACAGGACAAAGTGACAAGGCCCTTGTTGCCTTTGAGAATATGAGGAAGGCCGGTATTGAACCTAGTGATAAATGTGTGGCCCTCGTTCTGCATGCATATGAAAGAGAGAACAAGATAAACAAAGCACTGGACTTTCTGATAGATTTGGAGAGAGATGGTATCGTAATTGGAAAAGTAGCATTCGAAAGACTTGCTGGATGGCTCCGCAGACTCGGGGTGGTAAAACAAGTGGAGCTAGTCTTAAGAGAGTATGCAGTGGAGCTAGTCTTAAGAGAGTATGCAGCTAAGGAAACTAATCATGGAATGTGCACGTTTTAGATAAATTGAAGCTTCCTGGTAAGTGGCAAAAAACAAAAAGTCATTTCGCGTATATGAAACAATCATCAGGAAACTAGTATTTCTTAGAAATGCAAACTTTATTCTGCTTCTGTCCTCATGGTAATTGTTTCCTAAGTTTCTACAAATTGGGCGGTTGTTTCTAACTGGCAAATAGAGGCTTTGCTTTTTGTAACTATCTCCTCTTGGAGACATGTCTAATATAATTAGACTCTTTTAGAGATGAAATGTCCATTGGTTGAATATATTCTTTGGGTTTGGCATTGTGTAGTTCCTTCCCAATCAAAAGCTGTAACTTCTTCAAAGAATTTTTACTTAGCCATGTTCCCAATTTTCTTATAAAAATGTATTTCTATTCTTCTCATTCTTTTGAATTATTGGTAATTCAGCAGTGTATTGGAAGCCTCAGTATTTATAGCCAAAGTTTAGCTATTTTCTGTTGATTGGCTGATGATTTTGATAATGAATGAAGTTGAGCTCTCTGTCCACTTTTGCTCAGAGAACTAGAGAGGTCTTTGGGACAAAATATCAGCCACATACACTTAGAAAAGAAAGTACTTCAAGCAATTTTATTTTGATTTTGACTTTCCTATATCTGCTACTTCACAAACACACCGTGCATTATGATTCTAACTGTTCTCATACTCGCTGCTTCATTATCAACACTATTCCCCATTTGTCCATTGACAGACCAATCCCTATGTAGAGTCACATGATAGGAACATTCTGAAACTAGTGCTCAATCATCTCCATATGAACAAACAGTGTATGACATGTCAATGAATGATACTATGTGTGAATTTAGTTCTTCTTGTGAGATTTCACTTTTGTCATAGGTGCATGAGCTAATGCTCCTCGACATGGTTGATTTTTGTCCACTTATGTAAAGCTCTGTAGAGGGTGCATTTCTTGTAGCAATCAAAGTTCTGGACCTACTTGTGAAAAGAGAGAGCGTGGTGATGAAAATAGAGGCAACATGGTGAACTGCAAATATGAAGCTTTGTTATCATTATTGTCGTAATTGTTTTGCCTTTCAAGTTCTTTAGCATAATTTCAGTAAATAATTAGATAAGATTTTGTCTGTTTGCAGAAAAGCTCTATTTATGGCCTGATTCTGGGTGAAATGTGGCTGCATATGGGATGATAAATCCCAACCCTACTTATATGAAAGATAAAGGAAGATGGTTACAGAAACAGGCTGGATATGGAGTTTATGCCTTCTGGTGCATCCATGTACATGATGCTTGCACGTTTGCTTCAAGGCATATAAGGGAGTTTGTTATTTCTCTAGTTCCAAATCGTGAAGGATGAGAATAGATTTGGGAATCTGATCTGACACCCGTTGAATGCTAGATCTGGGGTTTTGAGCGAGGAGCTAAACTGTAACTTTTGTAGGACCGAATACAAATGAGGGAGGACAAATCCAAAGGCTTCTTGATCATGTGTTTTTCGTTTTTCGAAAGGCAGAAACTGAAGTCCAAAACTTAACCGGTGAACTCATCAGTGACTATGATGTTTCAGGCTGTTATTGGACGTATTCTTGGAGACTCAATGCTCGGATCTTATCTCTTAGCTGCTGTTTCAACTTGAGGAGCTTTACTGTAAGATGTTCTTTACATAATTTCTAGTTGTAAAGGGGAGATTTTTTTTGTATTATTCAATAATAGTCAATATATACATTAAGTTTGTCCAATACACACACACACACACACACACACATTAAGTAATCAGCAACAAAGAAACCCTAAAGACCACTTTACCCTGTTTCCCTTTTTTGCCCTTTATACCTCTAACCCTCGCCTTCAAGCCGGGAGTATAGATATTAATCATGCCCAGCTTGTTACAAATATATTCTATTTTCCCATTACCCAAAGGTTTAGTAAAGATGTCTGCAAGTTGTTCATCAATCCTAATATGACTGGGAAGAATCACTCCACTCTGTAACTTTTCTCGAATAAATTGACAGTCAATCTGATTGTGTTTTGTCCTCTCATGAAACACATGGTTAGAAGTTATATGTACTGTTGCCTTATTATCACACCATAGAGACACAGGAGCTAAAGTTTTAAAGTCTAATTCAATCAATAGCTGATGAATCCACACTAATTCATGTGTCACTTGTGCCATGACTTTATATTCTGACTCTGCACTGAAGCAAGCAACAACACTTTGTTTCTTACTCTTCCACAATACTAGATTTCCTCCAATCAAGGTACAATAACTGGTGGTTGATCTTCTATCATCTGGAGATCCTGCCCAATCATCATCAGAAAATCTTTCAACTCTGCTATGATCATGGTTTTGGTAAACAATTCATTTCCCCGGAAACTTATTCAAGTACCTCAAAATTCAAATAAATGCGTCCCAGTGAGATGTACGAGGGGAAGAGAGAACTTGGCTTACCACACTAACTGGAAAGGAATGTCTGGTAGATTAACTGAGAGATAATTTAGTTTACCTACCAGTCTTCTATATCTCTTAGGATTATCAAGAATCTCTTCTCTCTCAACAACCAATTTAAATCCTTGTTTCACAGGTGAATCAAGAGGCTTTGATCCCAACATGCCTGTCTCAATGAGCAATTCTAGAACATACTCCCGCTGTGATAGAACAATGCCTCTTTGTGATTGTGCCACCTCGATTCCTAGGAAATACTTCAACTTTCCCAAGTCCTTAGTCTGAAACTGTTGTTGAAGATAAAGCTTTAATTTATCTATACCAACCAAGTTATCTCCCGTGATGGTAATATCATCAACATACACAATCAAGAATAGCTTGCCTCACTCTGACTGTTTATAAAAAAAAAGAGTGATCATTTCTGTATTTAGACAATCCAAAAGAGAGTACAACCTTAGGCCATGCTCGTGGAGACTACTTCAAACCATACAAAGACTTTTTCAACTTGCAAACTAGTCCCCTATACTACCCTGAGCAACAAACCTCGGAGGCTGCTCCATATACACTTCTTCATGAAGAGTCTCATAAAAGAAAGCATTTTTGACATCAATCTGAAACAAGAGCCAGTTATATATGGCATGCAAGAGAGATCAAAATACGAATAGATGTAAGCTTGCAAAAGGAGAAAAAAGTGTCCAAATAGTCAACCCCATGCACCTAAGCATATTCTTTCGCAACAACCCTTGCTTTTAAGCTAGTAAGAGAATCATTAGGATTGACTTTCACACCATACACCCACTGACAACCAATAGCAGTTTCGCCTGAAGGAAGAGGTACCAACCCAAAGTTTGATTAACTTGTAATGCCTTTAATTCTTCTTCAATAGCTATCCTCCTGCTAGGGATTTGTAATGCCTTAGCTACAGAATTGGGGATTGGATTTTGGTCAACAGTGGACAAAAAGGACCGAAAGGAATGAGACACAGAAAAATATGAAATAAAGTTTACAGTAGAATGTTGAGTGCAAGCAAGTGTACCTTTGTGATGAGCAATAGGACGATCAAGATCAAAGATAAGAGGAGGGTAAGCTAATGGCAAATCTGGAGCGAAAGATAACATAGTAGTGACAAGAGGAAGGGGGGAAGCAGTAGCTACTCAAGGGCGCCGAGTATTGACCTGAGAGGAGGTGGTTCCTGTGTAGATACTGGTAAAATAGCCAAAGCAGTTGACCAAATGGTGGTCACATGTAAGTCTTCATCTTTCTCAGAAACAGTGACCGAGCCATCATGATAAGGAGTAGATTCAAAGAATGAAACATCGACAATTATAAAGTACTTCCTTAATGATGGAGAATAACAATGGTATCCCTTTTGCTTACGAGAATAACCTAGAAACATACACTTGATGGCCCTAGGATCAAGTTTTGATAATCCAATTCGATGATCACAAATAAAATAGACACAACAAAAAATATGAGGTGGCAAGACAAACAATGATTGATTTGGAAACAAAGTAGAAAAAGGAATACTACCTCGCTAAACAGAAGAAGGCATGCGATTAATGAGATAGCATGCAGTCAGGACATAATTAGATCAAAAAGTTTTGGGGACCTTCATCTCAAATAACATGGACCTGGTGACTTCCAATAAATGCCTATTCTTCCTTTCAGCTACACTATTTTGTTGTGGTGTATCATAATAGGAAGATTCATGCATCATAGCATGTTGAGTTAAAGTCAGAAAAAAGGTGCAGAAAAGTATTCCTTTGCGTTATCAGAAAGCAAAACTTTAACATTCACA